ATCACCCACGGCTACTTCGTACCCTTTCCCCCAAGCACCAAGCATATAGACTCTCTTAATTAACTTTGGGTTCTGTCCATCGAAGGTTCCATTTATGTTGATTTTATATATGTGTTATATAAGTTAAATAAACCACAAGTGGATATGATGAAACCTCTCCACAGGCGATGTTTCGGAGCGCGGTGCGGTGTTCTGGCAGGCGCTGGTGCTGCTGGCGGTGGCGGACCCCTCAGAGCGCGTGGCGCTGGAGGCCATTCGGGCCATGTTCGGGGCGCCTTACCCTCGCGCCACCACCGCTGCAGCCATGAGGGCACCCGGGGCCGGAACCCGGTAGGGCTGGCAGGCCCGCCACTGTGTGGGGGGTTTGGGTTATGTTGCTTTTATGTGAGGGGGAGGGGGAGGGGGGTTGGGGTTGGGGTTGAAATGGCTGGTGCCTTGGATGCGTCGGCAGTTGGTTTCTTTTTTTCACTTAAACTTGCATTTGAAGTCCCTCTGTCGCATGCATACATACATGCAAACAGTTCCTAAACAACACACACCTACACACGTGTGTACATATATACATGCATACATGCATACATACATACGCACATACATACGCACATACACACATACGTACATACATACACACACATAATATATACGTATATATATATATATATATACGCACTAGCACAGCCCCTGCAAGCCCACCGCCAACGCCGCCTGCCACTCCCCCCCCGCTCGTGTGTGGTTCGTCTTTTCCCCCGGCCCCCCCCCCGCCCCGCAGGATCTCAGTAGCATCCAGCCCGGTGGAGGTGGAGGCGGAGTCCTCTCAATCCAAAATCCTAGGAGCCTCCTGGCATCTCGTCATGACGCAAGCACTGGAGCAACCGCCAGTGACGGATGCGGCAGCTGGCGGCGCCGCCGCGGCCGCTGCCGCCGCCGCCGACTCCGGCATCTTTGGCCGCATCGCACGCCGCCTGCTCCGCTGCTTGCAGTCGCGTTCCCAGTCCTTGGTGTGTGGTGCGGCGCGTGCGGCGGCGGTGTTGGCGGAGAGCCGTGCCTGGTTCCATTCGCTGAGCGGCGGACACGGACACGAGGCCGAGCCGGAGGGTGTACGGCGGTGGATGCGGAGCTTGCAGGGGTTCTTGTTGATGCTGGCGGGGGATGATAACGTGAGCGGGTGCGAACGAGCGGCGGCGCTGGAGGTGAGCGGGTCCGTAAGTCCGTGGCGCTGGGTGCGTGTGCGGGACGCGTGAGCGCATGTATGTATGTATGTATGTATGTATGTATGTATGTATGTATGTATGTATGTATGTGTAGCTGTGTTCTATTTGCGAATGTTGCGCGTTAGGGGTGCATGCAGTGGGTAGTTTGGCTGGAGGCCAATCTTTTTTTCCAATCTACACTAAGGCGCCTCTCCGGCGTGTGTGTTTACACCCCCGCCCCCCCCCTTCCCCCTCGTTCGACTCCTCCTTCACACGTCGCGACTGGTTAGTTAGTCATTGCTTCCCCACTTCCGGCGTGTCAGTCTATCCTTGGCATCAGCGTCACTCGTTTGTGGCTCGTCTTCCCCTCCCTCCACCCTCCCCGCGCTTTCCTTGGCAGCAGCTTCACTCGTTCGTGGTTCGTCTTTCCCCCTCCCCCCGCGCTTTCCAGGCACTTATTTGGAGCCAGGGCATTGACCAGCCACCAACAGTGTCTCCGGGCCTTATGCTGCGCGCGGCGTCTCACGGTGGGGGCCCGGCCGTGGGAGGGCATGAGGACGGCGGGAATGGGAATTGGGTTTGGGCTTGTTGGGAAGGGGGGTTGAAGGGGGAGCTAAAGGGGGTGATGGTTGCTTGGCACTGGAAGTTGCCTTTCGGAAGTTGTTCTTAGAGCATGACCTGCTTTCGTGTGTGTTTTCACCCTCTTCTCCCTTCCCCTCCCCAATCCCAACGCAACCCAACCCAACCCAACCCAACCCAATTCAGGCCCCCAAAACAACCGCCAACAACCGGAAAACCCAAAACCCAAAATATAAAAACCCAAACTCCGTACATTCGTTTCCGCAGGTGGATTTACCGCGGCCCCCATCGCCCGCTACACCTTCGCCGACCCCTGGCCGTCCTGGCTGCTGGCGGAGATGCTGGGGGTGCTGGCGCGGCGGCTGCGCTGTACGGCAGGGATGCCAGCGGAGCTGGTTCTGGAGCTGGCGGGTGCGCTGGCGGCGGGCTCTCCCAGCGGCATGCCGCGTGAAGCCCTTCAGACGTTGTGGGACCTGGCACCCGGGTGGGTGGGGGTGGGGGTGGGGGGTGGGGTGGAGGGGAGGTATTGGGTATTGGATTTTCGGTGTGTGGCCCTGTGTGCCATTTGCAGTGGGGCTGGTAGGTGGCTGACTAAGTGGCTTGGTAGGTGGGTGGGAGGTAGGGTACGGGGGGATGGGGAAATGGATTTGTAATATCCGGGCTCTCGTTGTGTGGCCCGTTGGCCCTTAGCGAATTTCTCCTTCCCCTCGTGTATCACCACCACCACCACCACCACCACTACTACTACTACTACCAAAACCTGCCCTCCTCCACCCTACCTGGGCCTCCGTCGCATCATCGCCATCACCATCACCGTTGATATTATTCTTATTATTGTTGTTATAATTGTTACTGTTATTGTTATAAACTATTGTTATTACTATTGTTAATAATAATATTATTATTACGATTAATATTATTATCCTTCGTCATTATTATTTTTATTCCCCCCAACACACCATGGGGCCCCCGCAGGCCGCTAGCCGCGCGTGCCGCTCTGCAGCTGCTATCCGCCCCCCTGCCACCGCTGTGCCAGCCACCCGCCTCAGCGGCGGTGGAGGTCAAGTCCATTGCGGCGCAGGCAGAAATGGCCTTTTACCACCTCAAGGTGGGGTGTGGAGGGTGATAGCGGCTTCTTGGGGTTGGGGGGGGATGGGGATGGGGATGGGGAGGTGACTTGGCGGTTAGGCAGGTGCTCGGGGTGGTGGCTCGGTGGTGGGTGAGGTGTGTGTGTGTGGGGGGGGGGGAAATGCGTGGCTAGAGGGTATATGAGTGTTTTTGGGGGGGCCCGGAAGGGGTAAAACTTCTGCCAGGTTGGAGCATGTATTTAGCGAATGAAGGCTGTATGTCGGGACTCCCGTCTCCTCGTCCCTCTCTCCCCTTCACCCTCCCCGTCGCCCCTCGGCCGCCGCTTCACCACTTTCCAGTTGCAACTGACCCCAGCCCCAACCCTTTTTCCCCCTTTTCCCCCCTTCCACCGCCGCCGCTGCCGTCTCCACCGCCGCTGCCGCAGGCGATGGCGGCCTGCTGGCTTGGCGAGCACGTCAACAGCATTGCAGGGGAGTACGCCTGGAAGTCCTGGGAGACCAAGATGGGACCCGCAGCGGATGCCGCCGCCGCGGCGGCGGCGATGCCGCCGGAGGCGGCAACAGTAGCAGCGGAAGGACCAGTGATGGCGACGGCGACGGCTCCGCCGCCACCGCCGCCGGCGGCGCCACAACAGCACCGCCTTGCCGACGGGCGTTGGGGCAGCGCCGGTGGCGGCGGTGGCGGCGGCGACACGTCGTCGCTGGTTGGCGGCGCCGCCGCCAAAGGCGGCTGCTGGGGCCCGGAGGCGGCTGTAGCACGTATGGCAGAGGCGGCGGTGTCGCATAGTCCCTTACTGGCGATGACGATGGCACATCTCAATCGGGGGATGCTGACGGGTGTGTCTCAGTGGGCCGGTTGCCGGTTGAATGGATGGACGGATGGATGGATGGATTTTTTGAAGTAATAATGCTTTTGGGGTGAAGGAAGATACCGAAATGCAGAGAGTGTAGCTGCGTGCCATTGTGTTACATCTCTGCATGTATGTACGTATGTATATATGTGTATCGTCCTCCCACCGACACCTCCCTCCCCCCCCCCCTCCCCTCGGCCTCGGGAAACTCCCGCAGGTGCGAACGTCGTTCGGGTGGCCGCCGCCCAGGCCCTGGCAAAGCTATCCGTACGATCAGGGGAGCCGTACAGAATCCAGTGCTACAGCCTGTTATCGGCGGCGGCGGGCAGGATCGGCGGCGTCAGTGGCGGCGGCGGCGGTACGGCAGCGGCAGTGGTTGATCCGCTTGGGCTAGCGCCCGTGGTAGGCCCTGCGCTGGAGGTGCTGGATGCCATGTATGCGGGTGAGCGGTGGGAGGTGGAGAGGATGGTGCGGGTGAATGGGATTGGGGTTGGGGTTGGGGTTGGGGTTGGGGGATACGTCTTTTCCCCCCCTCCTCTTCCCCCCTCTCCCCCCATCAGCTTCACTCGTTCGTGGTTCGTCTTCCCTCCCTCCCATGCCGTTGGCAGAAGTTCTTGCATCTGGATGACCATGCTAGGAGCGGGCGAACCCCTGACCGATTTCCGTGCAGTACAGTCCTACCTGCCTAGGTGCTGTTACATTTCGAAAGTTCTTGCATCTGGCTATCTCTGCATTCTGCTGAGCCTTCATTTGCATAGTATGCTCCAACCGGAGGTGATCATCATCAACATAGCGGGGCAGGCGGGGAGGTGCAGGACGCACTGACATGGTACGGCAACACAAACCTGCTGGAAGGAACAGCCGCGGAGAGAGACGTCCTTGGTTTTCCTCGCAAGCTACAAGAAAATCGATAATCCGATTTAAAAAATGAAGTGGTTTTTTGCATTGATATTCACTCCTTCCGCCCCTTGTCCTTGATGCTACATTACTAAGTAAATCCGGCACCGTCTTTTTTTGAATGTGGTGTTGTTTCCCTGTTGCATGCTCTACGGACTCTGCCTGCCCTCCGAAACCAACCCCCATGTGTATATATGTATATATGATGTGTGAAACAGGGGGGTGTATCTTCGCCCGTGGCAGCTACCCTGCGAAACCCTGCCTTCCCCGGTATTTCGGGGCACCCTCATCCAGTCACCCTAGTCAACTTCTCAGTGGATCGCTCAGGTTCCGCACCCACCACCAGCATCCAACGGAATCTGCCGGGTCGACAGCGGGCCAACTCCATTCCTGGTCGGCTCGCAGGTTAACTTTATCCCAGGTCACCACCGTCCATCAACTAGGGGCGCAATGCCTTCCACCATCGGAAGGACTTTTGACCCTAATGGGTATCGATCCCGGGATCTCCCGGGGGCAATGGTCGCGCATTACCAGTAGTGCCAAACCCTAGTATATATATGTCTGCACATCATTTGTAATACGTTATGTGTATTATGTATTTTGAACGCATGCATGCGTATACACATACCCAGGGTACCCCACCCTCCTCCCGCCCTCTCACCCCTCGTCACGCGCGCACTTGCACATACGCACAAACACGCGCCTCTTTTCCAGGCGAGCTGGTTCTAGAGCGCCATGTCAGCCAGTACGGCACCCGTGCTCATGGCTGGCCTGAGGCGGCACTGGAGTCCCTGCGTCGGCGCCATGAGTGGCTGCTGGGGGCCATCAGTTGTACGATATGTGCCGTACCTCGGGAGTTATTTCTGCCGTTGGGCCCGCGGAGCAGGAGGCTGCTATTCCCGAGTAAGTACGGCAGCTGGCGTTTTGTGTGTGTAGGGGGTGCAGAGGTTGAGGCAGGTGGGGGGTAGGTGGGTAGGTGGGGGGTAGGGTGTGTGTGTGTTTGTATGGAAAAATAAGACTTTGGGGTTCTTCTTCTTCTTACCCTTTGGAAAACCCCCCCAAACACCCCTCCGCCTCCCCTCTACCACCCCCCGCGATCCCTTTATAGTGCGTCCTTCAATCTGGTGGTGGGTTATGTCATTTGTACCGTGCGTGTGACCGTGTCGTGTGTTTTTTCCCGATTCCTTCTTCCCCCTTTCCCCCTTCCTCCAGACGACAAGGAGGATGCCGAAGAGGACGCCCGCCAAGCCGCCGCTGCCGAGGCACAGCAACAGCAAGAGCAGCAGTACGGCGACCAGCAGTATTATGACGAGTACGGACAGCCGTACCAGTACGACTACAGTGCAGCGGAACAGTACGACTATGGGGATTACTACAACAACGCGGCTCAGCAGCAGCAGCAGCAGCAGCAGCAGGAGGACCGGGACCAGTACGGCCAGCAACGAGACCCCCTGGCAAGGTTAGGCGCGATGGGGGAGGTGGGGGGGGAGGTTTGTAAGGGAGGTGGAGTTGGGGGGGGGTTCAGGGGCCAAACCCGGCACGGGACGGGGCTGGGTATTCGTCCATGTATCTTCACACACCACCGTGAGTCTGTGTGTATCCTTGTCACTCTGAAGGGGAAGTTATGCAAGCCTCATAAAAGCCTCTGGACAAATATGTGAGTGTAGTGTAGTGTAGTGTAGTGTAGTGTAGTGTAGTGTAGCGTAATGCACTGTCGCCATGTCCCCATGCTTCCTTAGGTACCCCCTCTCCACTGTTTTGCCCGTTACGCGATAACCCCCCTGCGGGGACCGCCGCCGTACTACGAGCCGCCGTACGAGTGCCGCCCGTCGTGTCTTTGTTTGTGTGAGTGCGGCTACTCTTCACATCTTTACATCTCTTTACCTCTTGTAAAGTAAAAGTTCATCTGCCAAAGTGCAAAGCCAAGATTACAACCCGCAACCCATTCCTCCAACTCTCCAAGATTAAATGTTTAAACGAACCGAAATGTGGATCCAAAATCCAACTAGGTACGACTTTACGGGACAGAAGGCGGCGGCGGCGGTGGAGCTCAATTGGGGCGCAGAACAGTCCGGAGCGTACGACGGAGCCGACGACGCGGCGGCGGGTGAGATGGACGGGGGGGGAGGTTCCCAAGAAGGGGGCCGGGGCCGGCGGCGTCTCCGGCGGTTTGATGACTCCGGGGAAATCTTCAGAAGAGGAGCTTGGGGGGGGATTACGTGGCCGGGGGGGGGAGGTGTATTTTTTTGGGGGTGGAAATGGGTGCCTGTAGAGGTGGATGTAGACAAGGCGGGTAGACAGGACTCAATCAGCCCCTGCGCCTATGTGGTTTTTTTTAGTTTAAAGGTATAAATCCAACACCCAGTAAACGCGTGTATATGTGTATGCGTGTATGTGTGTATGTGTACGCGTGTACGCTTTTCCTTCTTTTCCTTCTTTTCCTTCTTTTCCTTCTTTATCTTCTTTATCTTCTTTATCTTCTTGCCCTCGGGGATGTGTATTCTCACGACTGCCATCATCATTCAGTTGCGGAGGCGCGTCCTGGAGTGGTGCTGTACTCCTTCCAGGCGGAGACGGAGGGCGAGGTACGGGGGGAGGGGTAGAGGAGAGCAGCAGCAGGAGGAGGGGGGAAGGGGGGGAAAAGGAGGGGGGAAGGAGGCGGAAAGGGGATAAGCATGTGAGCGCAACCTCCCTCACATCCCGTCCCTAGGGGGTTAGTGAATCATCGCGTCGGATCCCCTCCCATCCATTGGTTGATTGTCGACACAATGGCCTCTCTTTGATTCTTCTGCTGTAGCCATAATCGCTCTCCCGTACGCCTATGTATTTGTATATGTAGTCGGCGGAAAGGGGGAGGGAGGGGAGGAAGCCCCGGGGGTTTCTTCGGGTTCTCTCTCTGTGCGAGTGGTGTGTTTGTGTGGCGCGTCCGGGGCCTCTTTCCTGCGGTCTTTCCCCTCCCCTCAACACACGTCACAACACGGGCTTCACTCGCTCGTGGTTCGTCTTTTCCCCCCAACACACATACATACATACATGACGCGCCATCCACGTTCTATCTCCCAAATGCCATCTTCTCTTTACAAACCTTGCGTCCCGTTTTCACGGAATGTAGCATGTGGCCGAATAGTGCACGCATACAGAAAGGACAGCCGGTAGAGTGGAACAAGGGGGTGTGTGTGCCCCAGCTCGGCCGTTCGGCCGTTCGGCAGGCGGTTTGTTGTCTTGTGGCGGCGGTGGCGGCGGCGCTATACCACGTCTGCGTCCCTTCTCTCCTCTCCTCGTCCTGCGCTTCCCATATCTGCCCTCGACACACCCAACATGCGTCGCCGTACAGGTATCAGTGACAGCGGGCGAGTCTGTACGTGTCGTACACGACCTCGGCGAATGGTACGAGGTGCTGACGGCAGGTGGCCAGCAGGGCGTAGTACCAGCGTCGTACGTCCAGCTGTCGGACGAGCAGCAAGGGGGCGACGGCGGCGCTGGCGGCGGCGGCGGCGGCGGCCGCGGCCGCGGGCATGCATTGCCGACGTCGTTGGCATCGCAGGCATCTGTTGGATCGGCGGCGGCGGGGGCGTTGAGCGCTCAGTCGTCTTTCGCGGGTAAGCGTTGCGAAGGGGCGACGAGGGTTGGAGAGAGAGAAAGAGGGAGGAAGGAGGGTCCAGGACCAGAAGGGGTGAAGTCCCTGGATAAGGCCGGCAGGAGGAAGTGGGCACGTGGGGATTGCGGTGGTGGTGGTGGTGGTAAAACATGACTTGTTGACTTTTGATTAGCTACGCTTTTACGTACGACGACTGGCGTGCCGAAACAAAAAAGACGGTTCGTCCACCTGCAGTCGCACAGTTATGGCAGTTTATCATTCTCTCGTTGTTGTTGTCTTCTGTTACAGAACCCGCGACAACCCGCTGATGTTGCTTTTCCGTAATTTGTCTTTTTTTTTGGGGTGGGGGGCCTCCGGTTCCGTAGCCCGGCGGCAGAGTGGCGAGGCCACTGCCACATCAGGATACGGCTACAGCTACGGCGGCGGCGGCGGCGGCGGCGGTCAACAGGAGTCTGGCGGCGCCACCGCCGGCGCATCCGCAGTGGACTACTACACCTTCCGGTACGACAACCCTGAGTACGACTCCGGTAATGGCGATGGCGCTTACGGTTCGTACTATGGGGATTATGGATCGCAATACGGCGCTGACCAGTACGGCACAGGAGCGTACGGCAATGGCGCGTACGGCGGGGGAGGCATGTACGGCGATGATGGCGGCAGCTCGGCGACAGCGGAGCGCGGCGGCGGCGGCAAGAAGAAGAAGGGCTTTGGAGGTAATAACGCGTGGTGTAGCTCGCCAGGCAGTTAGTTGGTTGGTTCCGTTGGAGTACGGCACACACGAAAGCTGGGAAGCGCCCGGGTAGACTCTAAATCGATTGCGTGTTTCTTTCTCATCCTCTTCATGATTCCTCCTCGAATGGGTGTCCCGAATTGGCGCCGCTGGCTATGCGCTTCTTGAGCAGTCAGGAGTCTGAGGTTTGTCCTGTTTCTGATGATAATACTTTTATGACGGATTTCATGTTTTTATTACGGATTTAATGTTTTCCGCCGCGGTCATGTGCTGTGCATAGGACATGAATATATATATATATAACATAAATATATAATGGTTCAGGTTTTTTGCTCTTAAATATAATTTGTGCACTAAAAGTCGCGAATGGTGATGTGATCGGTCCTACACTGTTCTGGCCCAGGCAGCTGGTGGATATGTTTCCACTCAGAGCACTTCGCGCCGCCGGACGCGAAACGCGATTCGCCTCCCTTTTCCCCAGGGGATGAAGGAAAAAGGGGGAGTTTGTGTTTATTATTTTCTCTTTTGGATGGGGGTGTGCGAGTTACGAGGGGCCGCTGCGCCCCCCGCTTCACTCAATCAAGAATCACACACGCCCGCTGCAGGTTTCGACGACTTCGGTGCGGTGCTCGCGGAGGTCAAAAACGCGGCAGCGGCGGCCAGGCAGCAACAGCAGAGCACAGATCGTCGAACAGGTTCCGACGGCGTCGAAGACAACAGAAGCAGCGGCGGCGGCGCCGCCGCCGCCGCTGCAGCCGCCACCATCAGTACCGCTGGCGCCGCTGCATCGCCATCGCTGCCTCAGGCCGGTGAAGCCGCACCCGCACCCGCAGGCTACTACCCGTCAATACCGTACGGAGAGGCCGGTACGACATCGTACGTCACGACGCCAGATGCGGCGGCTGCGGACGTTGTTGGGAACGTCTGGTCCGCCAGCGGCCAACAGGACGCAGCGCCGGGGGTTCCAGCGGATGGCGGCGGCGGCGGCGGCCGGGGTACGGCCATGTACGAGTTTGTGGCGGAGATGCCGGGCGAGCTGTCGGTAGCGGCCGGGGAGGAGTTGGAGGTTCTGGGGCCCGAGGCGGATGGCTGGTACACGGCCCGCCTGGTTTCCGACCCCTCCAGGGTGGGCATTATCCCGGCATCCTACGTGCAGCTGCAACAGTAAGATGTAAAAGCACAGCCGGAGAAACCTACATACTTACATACCTACATACACACATAGACCATGTGTCTGCCTTGTTGCCTATTTTGGCCATTTGGCCGCTACTTGCCTATCGTGGGGTCCCGCATGGGAAGGCGCCCACCCCATGACTTTGCGAAACACACATGGCACGCTGCGCTGTCCGTTCGCTGAGGCACTTGTCGTAAAGGTCATGCGGCTGGTTAGCGTGTATGTATGTATGTACATGTGGTGACATGTATGTATGTATGTATGTATGTATGTATTGCCTGCATGCTTCCGCGCGTCAGCAGCGGCGGCTTGTGGTGTCTAGAGAGCCCAAAGGCTGCGAACCAAGGCTGCGGCCATATAACCGGTGCAGTGGCAGCGAAGGCTCTTATGGCCACAGGAAATCTGCGTGTGCTTGTGTGTGTGTGAAAGAGAAAGGTGAAAATCAGGGGCAACATGCAAAGAACCGACTGGTCAAAAGGGGGTGTGAAACGGGGTAAATAAACATAGGACGTGAGGATAAGTTGCGGGTAAGACTTCCGACGCGGCCCCAAAGTACCGTCGCGCCGTCATGAGCTGCATCGTCAACGGGCGATCGGGCCCCCAGGAGGCTGGTTGTCGGAGCCCGGTATGGGTATATGCCGATGAAGAAGTACGTCCAGCCGCCACGCATGACTCGAGAGAATGCGAACAACTTCTTCGTTGTGATCATCGACCGAGTGGTAGGACTTGAGATGGGATGAGGAGGATGTGCTAGGCAGAGGGGGAGTGGTTATGTCGGTTAGGACGGTTGTAACGGTCCACAACTTTCTCAGAGCCCGACAACAGAGAGCAAAAGGGCGCGCGCGCGCGCTGAAATCATCCGCACGGCCCTGTGCTTTGCTCCTCAGTCCGTCTCTCATCTCTCGCTTCAGGTGGGGTGCTTTGCTTTTTGAGTGTGTATGTGCGGCCCTTGCCTTTTGTCCTTCGCGCGCTTAAGCTTAAGGACGGATGCCGTGCATTTCCGTGTGCAGCTTATTCAGCTGCTGCGGACAGGCGCGTAGCGGGGCAAGCGCGTTCTACCGCTACCGCTACTGCTACTGCCGGTAGGTAGTGATGGCCCGCACAGCAGGTGCCACCCCCCTTCTATCATGTATATTGGAGTTATCTCCAAATTATGATATATGGTGGCCATGCGCCGCGAGTTTGGATATAACAGTTCAAGTGTAACAGTTCGCTGCTGCTCAGCTTGTTAGGCCTTGTTGTGGTGTCGCTTTTTCTAGGTTGGGGTGAAGAGGCCTTCTGGCCTTGGCCTTCTTGCTTGGTGTGTATGGATGTGTGTTGGTGGATATATGCTGCGATAGACTGATGGGGGCGGTGATTCTGCTGTCAGGAGGAGGAGAGGGAGGAGGCCTTAGGCGCAAAGGGTCGGCGGATAGTTAGGGCAGGGGGGCCGCCCTATTCCGCCCCCTATATCCCCTATATGGTGCTATGGGACACATCATGTTTGGCCTGCAGGCCACAGCTGTGGCTCGTAATTGTACATAAATTTGAACACCATGAACGTTTATCCCAGGTATTTAGCATCAAGAAACTTTTAATGCATCATCTTAAAAGGAACCTTGACCGGGAATCTTCCTCCTGTGCAGCCCTGCCTGGTTCTTGGGTGCGGCCATCCAGTGGCTATGATCGGCCTTCCCTCGTTTTTTCTTTGTACATTTCGCCACATGTGCGAAAGAAATCCAATATAATGCGGCCACCAGCAAACAACCTATGCAACTCCACGCACACATACAGACCTATGCCCATGTCGCATCGTCGTCGTCGTCGTTGCTTCATCGCCAGGGCACCTCCTGTGTATCTTACGCCCTCCGGCGCCATGTCCCCCGCCACACCCCCCCCCCCCCTTAGGCCGGTCCTCATCCAGATATGCTATACTTTCTCCCCACATATCAGGAAAGGCCGAAACGTCGCCTTTCTATGGACACAGTTCAAAATCGAGATCGTCCGAGATGTACCCCACCCCACCCCCTCAGTGCGTCGCTCACCCCTTCCCGTGTGTCTCCTCCCGACGTAACGTTCGACGATGTATCTTCAAAGCACCAACAATAATTCAGCAGCCTGTCAGCGCGCTGCAGCTATTGTCCGCTCCGTGCGAGTACCCCGGCCCGGCCTATCGTCCTGATGGAGTGAGAGGACAATAAAAAAGAAACCGTCGCCGTTGTCGACCGCCGCCGTTGTTACCACATCTTTGAAGAACCATATCCAAAGCCATCTGACTGAAGGGATATGGGCACCAAACCCACCAGCCCACGCTCGCTGATCATCTTACGGCCAAGGCTTGTACTGCCCGGGCAGCTGCCCCTCGTCGCCTTGCTTCCCGCCCCCGCGGCGTCCTCCGCCACAACCCTTGCACAGCCGTGTTACATTACAGATCTACAGATCTACAGACAGGGGAACAGCAGGCCAAGGAAACCGCCAGGCAGGCGAGTGCAGGCGCAAGGACGGGATCAATGAACGCAGCAAAAGCCAAGGCCGAGCTGGTGGTAAGAGGACCTTCTCAACTTTCCCTTCGGAAAAGGTGATCATCTCCGAAACGGGAGGGTGGGTGCGTACGGGAGGGGGGGTGCCATGGGGCCGCGCCAACGGGTAAACAACCAAGTCCAGCCACATCGATGGACGCGCAGCATGGCCGACACACTAATGCATGAGTACTGAATTTGCGAGCAGCGAGGTCGTTCGATATGGCAATAAGAGATATGGGATGGTACTTGCCCACCATCCCAAAGTGCCAGGCCAGTCGCCGAGTCGCTCCGGAACGTATTACGGCAACGGCAGACGGAACACAGAGCCCTGATACGTATTCTAGGGAGGGACACGAGGTCTCACCTATAGGATCCACACCTACCTACCCACCTACCTACCTACCTACCTACTTACCCACCCACCCGCCTACCTACCCACCCACCCACCTACCTGGCATGAAGTGCCCGCCCGAGGGGCCCATGGCATGTCCGTGGGGGCCCACGGGGCCGCCCATGCCGTGATGGCCGCCTGCCATTCCTCCCATCGGGCCAGGTACGCCGCCCATAGGCCCAACCCCGCCCATGGCACCGACCCCTCCGGATAACAACCCTGGCAACAGCGCCAGCGGCCCGCCAGCCGCCGCCGCGGCCATGGCGCCGAAGAGGTTATTGCCGTGTGGCCCCATGCCGCCCATAGGGCCCAGCGGCGGCATGGCGAGCTGTGGCGGCAGATCCGGCGGCATTTGGCCCTGAGCTGCGGCGCCGACGAATCCCCCGCCGATTCGGTCGCCGACGCCACGGCCGCCGCGGCCGCCACGCACACCTCGGCCGCCGTACCCCCCGCCGCGCCCGCCGCGGCCGTCTCCCCAAAGCCCGCCACCTGCGGAGAAATGGCCGCCAGGGGGAGGCGGGGTGGGGCCCCCCGTGCGATGGGATGGAACCCCCTTTCCACCGCCGCCGCCGCCCCTTCCAGCAAACGTGACGACGCACGGCCGACCGTTGATTGGCTTCCTGCGGCACCGTACAACCGCGGTGTGTGTGTGTGTGTGTGTGTGTGTGTGTGTGTGTGTGTGTGCGTGTGCGTGTGTGTGTGTGCGTGTGTGTGCAATGCCGCAACGAAATCAGGATGGGCCCAGCGCTCGGGTGAAAAATGTGTGAAATTTCGGCTTTAAAATGTGGATTATCGACGACGGTTGTACGACCCGAGTCATGCACGCGGCTAAAAGATGCGGCTCTTCCGCGAGCAGGGGTTCTTTGTTCGATCGTATGTTTGTCCAAATAAACCCTGAGCCAGCCCAATTCCCCCAGTGCTCAGTGCAGGTTGTGAAGCAGTGCAGTGAGCCACAAGCAGTTGCAGGTCGTTGCTGCTCCGCTGCTCTCAGCCCCCCCCCCCATGTAAACCCCTAAACCAACAAAGATCCCACCACCGTTACAGTCACAGACATCCAGTGTGTGTTTTCTACCTACCCGCCAGCTCCCAAGCAATTTGCTTTCCTTCTCCATGCACCCACCAATTCAGAATCCAGCCTTACTGTCATGGCCTAACTTCTTATGTGCCCCGCCCGGGCACTCAACGACTTTTCTCCTCACTTCCAAATATAACCAATTCCGTTTCCATTACTGGACTCGTCAACAGCCGTCTCTGGGCTCACTGTGGCTCAACTGCTCTGCAGCAGTTCCCTCTCCGACTGCGTTGCTTCTCCCGGGGCTTACCCTGACAGCTGCTCCTTGCAACGCGCCGCCGCCTCGGGGTCGGTGAATTCCACAAGCACAGCTCCCCTGGAGCGGCCAGTCGCCCGGTCCTCTACGAACTGCAGACCGTTGACTGGGCCGAAGGAGGTGCAGACGCTCTCCACCTCCAAGTCAGTGGTCCACCAGGTAAGGTTCGCGATGTACACCTGGCCTCCAGAGTCGCGTGCCTCTCGCAATGCCTGGATGCTCGGCCCCACAAACTGTTGTTGTTGCTGCTGTGCTTGTTGTTGCGTTTGCTGGTCATGCTGTTGTTGTTGTTGTTGTTGTTGTTGCTGCTGTTGCTGCTGTTGGTGATGGTGTGGTTGCTGTTGATCGAAGGCGCGCCCCGCCGGGTCGATGGGACCGGCCAACGGTTCCGCGCCCACATCGTGAAACCCTAGGCCGCAGGGTTGAAAAGAGGACAGTCAGAAGGCATCAAAGCAAAGAGCGATAAAGGAAGGAACCTGCAAGATTGAAGCCGCCAAGACTGACCTTGTCCACGATCTTGTTGCTGCACTAAAAATTGATTCGCATGTGCGATATCTGACTGAGGTCCTCCTGTCGGTAACCATTGACCCAGCACACAAAAATCAACGTCTGAAGGAATCAGTCTCAGGTGTTCCTATACCTTCCCTATGCTGTTCCTGACATTAAGATCTTGCAAACACACCATTAAGGCTCTCTTCAAAATCAAATTCCATTGCTGTCTGGAAGTGCGCCGCGTATTAACTGCCAAGCACCTGTGTTCCCGCTAGTTTCTGTGCAAATATTGGTGACCCTTCCGCTTGCACAAGGAAAAATGTTTATGAGTTAAGGCGCATGAAACTGTACAGTTGTATCGTTCAGACAATGTGCAACATCAGACCTCCCCCAGCATACGTTTAATATGAAGTGTAGGAATTGGGATCGCCGGTTGGCGCACGCTGTGACTAGTGGGTGTTACACTGTTACTTACTCATAAGACGATGTACGGTAACCACCTTATAGCGGTTAGAATCAATGTCGGTTGCAATCTAATGGCCTGCAATTCCACACAGCCGCTGCCAATTAATTAATTAAGCTGGGTTCGACGTTTGTTTTATCTTCCCTTCTCATTTATTCCTGGCTCCTTGAGATGTTGAGAAGATTGAATCTAGCCTAGTTTCTCCATTACTATCTGCAGGCTTTTGCGATCAAATGTTGGGTTGTTCTGGCTAACAGCCTTGCCGTGAGCTCTCAACGTCTTCAAAGCGAAATGGGCTTACGGTGGCAAATGTTTGGGCCCCCAGCCAACCGCTCCAACAATGCTGCTGAGCGGGGCTATTCCGCTATGCATGCCAGGCCTTCACGCGTAATAAAAATACCTAGGCTCTAAAGTGTTAACGTTCAATTTCACCTTTTCTATGCCAGCGGGTGGTGATTTACCACATGACGGTTATTCACTTCAGGAGCCCTAAACAGTGGTCTGCCCGTGTTTGGCGTCGTGTGCCGCCGTTCTTTGCCCATTTAGCAACCACCTGTGTATGTATGAAACTATTCTTAATTACTTCCTGACCATTTATGTGATGAGCTGAACCCGCTCTGCTCCTTTGAGATGAATTGTATGATCCCCCTGAAGTACAACTATCCCGGTGCAGTATTTAATTAATTTAAAATCTTAGCTGGCCATACTTGATCACATTGAAAGGAATACAAAAGTGTTTTGGCTCAAATTGCCCTATTTTCAACCCATGTTGGCAGAACCTAGATTGGATGAAAAATGGACGAGCATGAGGCACAACTACTCTTTGCGCAACCCGGCAAGAATGTCGTAACAGGAAAGGCGCTGCGGCCGGGGCCGAAGCGCGGTGTTATTGAATAAGAGAGGAAACACGGTAAAATGAAAAATTAAAAATGCGGAAGCCAGGAAGATGTGCAGTGTGAAGTAATAGCCGAACATAAGTCGGTTACAAAAGTTCACATGACGCAAATCGATCAGACATATGGGGTGTGACGTCCAAAGAAAGGGCAACGTGAAGCGGCATGCAAATAAGACAAATAAGGAAAGAAGAGCTAGTAATAAATTACAGAACGTTGTACTTGAGAACTGCAAGAAGAGATGTGTACGGAGTTGGACCTTGAAATCGGGAAGTGCATCTGCAAGATTAATGAGCAAATCGTTTACAGGGAGAGGAGGGAGAGGAGGGGGAGAGGAGGGAGAGGAGGGGGAGAGGAGGGGGAGAGGAGGGGGAGAGGGAGGAGAGGAGCAGTGTTTTTTTAAGTAATATATTCCTTTTAATTCCTTTTAAGGAATAAAGAGGCCATTTTGGCCTTTGGAAAAAAGGAATGAATTGAGGCTGATCCGTACTTTTTCATTCCTCCAGCCAAAAACGTCCATTGCTGCCAGATTGCTCCGTAGTGTGCAGAACTTAGTATTATCGATCATAGAATAGATATGAGGGGCCGTAAGAAGGTCAAGCCCGTGAGTCAACGCGGCATAGCAGAATGTATGACCGGTCCTTACATAGCCATACACGCAAAAGGCAACGACTTGAACGCCGAACAAACACCAAAACAGCAAGATAAGCCTGAATTTTTTCCTGATAAAGGCGTTTGGGACGGCGGTGCTGTTGTCGGTAATGCATCGGCAATGGTGTGGCTGCCAGCGGCGACCGATGACACGGGCGCCATTACCCCTGCCTTCCATGGCGGTTGTGATCAGCATAAGCGCAAGCTGTCACCCAATCAGCTCGACAACAACGAATGCGGCGAGGCGCC